ATCCTGTCTCAAAAAAGGATAAGGAAAGAAAAATAAATTAAAGGGAAACAGGATCATATACTGTGAACCAGGCTTTATTCTGGGACAAGATACACAGTGGTGAATCAGAAAGTCTTTTGTCCTCATGAACACAAGCAGGGATGGTTGTTTAGGAGAATGGCGACTGTACTGTAACACCGAGGACTGGGGGAGGAGGGGCCACCAGAGTTCCCACAAGGCGGGCTCCTATATGCATTGCCATGGCTCAGACAACAAGTTCAAAGACTCTTCAGCCTTCCCAGCCCTTCCTGTGCTCCGCCTCGGGAAGCAGGCCTCCATTTCCACATGGACGATTGCATAGTCTCCTACATCGTCTCTTCCTTTCTGCATGCTGCCCCATCTTCACAAACATTCCCGTCATAGCACTTGGCCTGCATATGAGCTCCAGTATCTTCTTCTGTTTGCTAGGATAAAATCCTCTCCGTCTACCAAGCCTGCCTTCCCAGCCAGCTCAGTGAACTCTTTCTTTCTGATTCCCAAGTGTCCCTTTCTCCAGTGGTTTGCACGTGCAACCTTGCTCTTGAGTACCTTCTCTGGATTCCAGGGTGCTGAAACCCTTGTACATGATGAACCCAGACCCTGCCACTCTCTGCACTGGCCTTTCCCATTCTTCCTCAGCTCTCTGCCATTTGTAATTGCCCATCCCTCTGAGGGCAGATGAGCAGAACTTGCCCAATACAGTCTGCTGCATGTCTCCCCCAGGTCTTTCCTGGGACCTTTGGCTTAAGGAAGCTATTTCCTGTGGCTTAGGAGCACTTGCTAAGGAGGATGGGAGAGAAGGATATGGAGTTAAAACTTGGGGGTAGGGATTTGTAGAGAGTGAGATGCTCTTAGGCTCAATTTGAGTTAGGCAGAGGCACCCAGAAAAGGCCAGGTAGGATGGGAATGAACACCCAGGGGATAGGAGCAGCGGCACAATTGCTGCTCAGAGCTCTAGGGCCCAGATTTCTATCTGCTAGTTCACAGCTGTAGCAATGCCCATGCTTGCCTCACTGCCGTCATCTTGTCTTTGTGCTGCAGAGGAACAGTTCATCCTTTCCCAGGCAGCACTCTTGCAACAAGTGGATGCCTTGGTGCCCATGCTGGACAGTGCTTCTATAAAAGGTAACCCTCTGTGGTTGCATCTCCACTCTTGTGCTTGGGAAGGTGGTTGGTGGGGCCAAGGCTTCCCTGTATGAATGCTGGATCTGCTCCTTGCCTTTTTAAACTATGGTTAAAATTCCCAAGTAAGAGCCTAGGTTGTCAGGCATTGGTGGCGCACGCCTTTAATCCCAGCACTCAGGAGGCAGAGGCAGGCGGATCTCTGTGAGTTCGAGGCCAGCCTGGTCTCCAGAGCGACTGCCAGGATAGGCTCCAAAGCTACACAGAGAAACCCTGTCTCAAAAAAAAAAAAAAGAAAGCGCCTAGGCGCAGGACCTCAGGCAGTTTGGGCCTAAGGACACTAGCACAAGCTCCAGCAGTCCCAACTCTGGAGACTCCTCCTGCTTTCTACCCCCTTAGTATCTCTCCTTCAGGGTGCTGCAGAGCCCACATTTTATTGTCAGACCTCCTGCCGGGTGTGTGAGTTTTTCCTGCTGCAGTCTTAAAAGAGTCCCTGAGCCTGGGCTTTGACAAGCAGGCAGCGGCTTTAATTGAATCCAGATATCCATCTTGTCTGTCTCTAGAGGTATTTCTCTCAACTCCCTCTCCCTGCCCTGATCAGCTACCCGCTTTAGTATCTGACAGCCTAAAGCTGCAGCATACCATGGTGGCCAAGGCTCTCAGCGTGGGAGCTCAAGGGGCTAGTATAGGACTTGGTATTCATTCCCAGCCCACCTAAGCACCTTAGGTTGGGAAGACCTAGCCCTGCTGAGCTGAGAGCAAAAGGGGTAGGGCCTATAATAGGTAACACTCTCTTTACTTGGCCCTGCTCATAGCAATCAATACTGAGGACTTTAAGGTTCTGTCTTCTGGGTACCTGTTCTCCCCCTACCCCCACCTCCTGGGTCCTGGAGTAAGGATGGGGTGGGCAGGGAGCCCTTCCACCACCTCCAGCTTACAGGGTCGATGAAGCCTGGCGTTTGTTTAGCTTCTCTACTCAATACTCTAATCCTGCCGACGACCTAATAGACTATTGAGCAGTCCCGGGGGGCGGGAAGGGGGGGGGAGGGCACAAACATCATTGGGTGGTGTGTGTTGTGTTTTACAGCTGTTCCTGAGCATGCTGCCCGCCTGCAGCGCTTGGCCCAGATCCACATCCAGCAGCAGGTATGGAAGGAGAGAGGGCTGGAAGGGAAGGTGGAGATGAGACGCCATGTCTGCTGACATAAGGGGGTTGGGGGATTGAGAAGACTCCTAGGGGGTTGGGGAATTGAGAAGACTCCTAGACCCTTGTATTGTCAGCAGAGGAAATGTGGAGTTTTATCTTCTATTTCTAAATGCCCTGGAGATGGGAAAGGACTTGCCTAGGGCCACATCTAGGTCTCTTGCTTTCCAGAATAGAGGTTGAAGTTGAGAGGTACCAAATAATCCCTGGGAATTTGTTTCTGACTATGGGTGAAATATCTTTTCTCAAGTTCAAAGACTTTTTAGGAATAGGGACAAAGGGGCTGGAGAGATGGCTTGGCCCTTAGAGTTACTTGCTCCTCTTGCTGAGGGTCTGGGTTCAATTCTCAACACCCACATGGTCACTAAAAGCCCACCTCTGTGTAACTCCAATCCCAGAGGATCTGATGTCCTCTTTGAGTCTTTTGGGTACACACACACACACACACACACACACACACACACACACACACGGAAAACACCCTAACAAATAAACTGAAAATAAATCATTAAAAACATAGGGACAGCGGGTGGTGGTGGCACATGCTTTTAATCCCAGCACTCAGGAGGCAGAGACAGGCAGATCCAAGGCAGCCTGGTCTACAGAATTGAGTTCCAGGACAGGCTCCAAAGCTACACAAAGAAACCCTGTCTTGAACAAGCAAACAAACAAACCATAGGGACAGAAGAGGAGGGGATCCTAATGTGTAGAAACCGCCCCTCCAGTTACTCTTTGGGCTGCTGTTCAGGGCACCTGACCTAGGATTGGAAGTGCCTGTTTTGCAGTTTTCTCCTTTCGCTCTAGGTTATTTAAGCACCATCTTTTTTTAGGTTTGGAGGGAAGGAGTTCAGTGGGAGATGAGGCATTATTCCACTCCTTTCTAAGCTATGCTTTGGCCTACAGGACCAGTGTATGGAGATCAGTGAGGAGTCCAAGGCTCTCCTGGAGGAATATAACAAGACTGTATCTTTTGTGCTTAATGGGCCCTCTCCCAAAGCCTGTTTCTGCTGCCCCTAATGCGCCCATCCCATTCTCTCCTCTCCTCTCCTGCCTTCACCGCTTTGGGCACATGCCAAATCTCTGTGCTTCCTCATTCACACTCCTGTTGTCACCTTGACTTCTGACCAGACAATGCTTCTCTCCAAGCAATTCGTGCAGTGGGATGAACTACTCTGCCAGCTAGAGGCTGCCAAGCAAGTGAAGCCAGCAGAAGAATGACAGTTGCTTACTGTGCCAGGCCAGGGAAAGGGGGGCCAGCTCCAGGGCCCTGTGCCACCCTGTCTTTGTGAGGCAGAGACAGCTTTGTATTTATTCAATTCAAAGACTACCTGTCTGCTCAGTTGGGGCTCTGAGGTCAGAGATCAGGTTACCTTAGAGTCATGATTTGCACTCCCCATCAGTGTATTTATTCCAATGACAATAAACTGTAGCTACCGCTGAAGGTGTGTTTTGGCTTGCTGATCTAAGATGGGCTTGGCTGTGAGAACTGGAATGGTGAAGGGGAGAGCTGTCACTATCAGGGTGGGACCTGGAACTACTCCTGGTCGAGCTTCTGAAAGATGTAGTACTCTTGCATCTGATTGATACAGTGGGGCATTGTATATTTATCCCACATTTTCCAACTGCCCTCTAAATATCAGATCCTACGGCACGTAAGGAGGGCACAGGTAGGGTCACCTCATTTCTGTATAGGGTTTGGGGGAAGACCAAGAAAGTGGTAGTCCTACCAGGTGGGGCTCAGCATGCCAGGATGATCATGGAGGAACAAGCAGGGACGTTCAGAGCCAAGGCAGCATAGCCTTGTGTCTACCGAATACCAGAAGAGGAGCCAAGAGGCTTGGATGCAGTGAATTTTAGGATCTGGGAAGGAGGAGCAGATGATGGGAAAGCTTGGATGAACAGTTTAAGCACCGCGCTCCACCAAGTGTATGCTGCCCTCTTGTGGCCTGAGGGAGTGCCTCGGCTCCTTCAACTGCCTGTAGACCAACCAATTTGTAGTTTTGCTGGCACGCAAAATGCAGCTTGTCCAAAACGATCTGAAACTAGCAGTCATCCTAGACTATTCCAACAAATAGTTCCCGGCTCTTTCCCAGAACTTCCTACGAGTTTTTACCAAGTTAATTAATCTCTTCTCAATTCTTGCCATTTCGGTGGTTAATCAACATGTTGGACAGATGTTGCAGAACCTGTTTCACTCTGAGTACTGTACTAGGTTCCGTGGGCACCCTCCTACCCCCGCGCCTGACGCGTTATGATGGTGCAGGGTACAGACCCTTCCCAAGGTCACAGAATCTGTTGATTCTGTATCCTCCTAGCCTATACGCCAATCTATGGCCAATGAGTTGTGCACAAGTTATGGCTTAGTCCCTTCTGAAGACTACCAGGGTTGTCCAGTGCCCCAGGATGAGAACAAAGCTCAGAACTAAGGGTCTCGCCCGCTTGTATCCACCAATGCTTCAGCTTCTCCTTCACCGATGCGGTGAGTCAACAGGTGACGCGCACCATCCATCGTTTAAGGGCACAGATTCGCATTCTTCATGCTCAGGACTCCTCCGATAGCCATTCCTCTCCCGGGCAGGGCCCTCTGCGGGTTCTGGCGTGCTTCGGCATCACCGCGGACCGCGGGATGCGGGCCAGCTGCGGGTACCAGCTCAGCTGAGCCCAACGGCGTCCCGGGTTTCCCTCAGGCCCCGCCCCCTGCGTGCGCGCTCCCGCGGCCCCGTGCGCTCCCGGTCTGCGCGCCATCTTGGGTCGAGCGTGGACGGGCGGTAGTGGTAAGAGCCAAATCCCAGGGCCTGGGTACTCAGAGGTGGGGCAGGGGATGTCTGCTGCCTGGGACAGCGGCCCACGACCGGGGAGCCCGCCAGACCGTCCATGTTTGGTCCGAGCAGTGGTCTGTGCGAGCCCCCACTCTCGAGTTCCCGAATGGCCTGGCTCAAGCCCCCCAACCCTGGTAATCTAAGGATGAAGTCTACTCAGCCGGCCGAGAGCCCGGAGGGGCCGGTTCTTTCTTTAGGGAGTACTTTGTGAGAGTTCGTGGCTGTGCCCCAGGCAGCCTGGGGCCAAGTCTTGATTCTGTTTCCTGGAAGCACACAGTGAGAGGAGCTTGTCCGAGTCCTTGGAAGCCTAGTGAGGAAAGGCTCCTGTTTTAGAGAGTTGTGGGTGAGGAGGGGTCTGGCCTAGCCCTGAAAAGCTTGAGCTGATGAAGCATGGCCCTATCCCGGATAGCCTGGTTTGGGGAGTGGGGGGAGTTTGGTTCTTTCCGTGTGTAAGACTCTCCAGCCTTGGGGTGAGGGGTATATCCTGGAGGGAGTGATGGAGGATGGACCTGGTCATAGTCCTGACACTCATCTGACCGCTTCCCCCAGTGCACAGCAAGAGAGATTCACCAAGGCCACCGGAGCAGAATGGAACACTACCGGAGGGCTGGCTCTGTAGAGCTCCCAGCATCTTCACCAATGCCCCAGCTACCTCCTGACACCCTGGAAATGCGAGTCCGAGATGGGAGCAAAATCCGAAACCTGCTAGGACTGGCTTTGGGTCGTTTGGAGGGGGGGAGCACAAGGCATGTGGTGTTCTCAGGCTCTGGCCGGGCAGCTGGGAAGGCTGTCAGCTGTGCAGAGATTGTCAATCGGCGGGTCCCAGGCCTCCACCAACTCACCAAGCTTCGTTTCCTGCAAACTGAGGACAGCTGGGTCCCAACCTCACCAGACACAGGCCTAGACCCCCTCACAGTTCGACGTCACGTGCCTGCAGTGTGGGTGCTACTCAGTCGGGACCCCTTGGACCCCAGTGAATGTGGCTACCAACCCCCGGGAGCCCCCCCAGGCCTGGGCTCCATACCTAGCTGTGGTCCCAGACCCCGAAGAAGGGCTCGGGACACCCGGTCCTGAAGACCTGCTGAGCCTGACTGTACTCTAGACCTGATTCTCTGTGCCTTCTGTAAGAAGGGCTTGTGTGACACTTAACATGCCAGCAAGGCTTGAGTCCACTGGAGTCCTGCCTCCCCTCCCCCCTGGGATGCGGGATGCTATGAAGAATGAAGGGCATATGGGGTCAGTGCTGAGTTACAGACTGCTTGAGAAGGGCTTACTCTGTCTACAGTATATCTGACTTGCCTTTTTTGACATCAGTCTAGGAGAGGGAAATAAAGGTCATGCCCATTTGTTTGGCCTGCTTGTGTGTAAGTGGGATTGGAGGGGTGTGAGGCCCGCCTTGCCCCGGAGCTCATGGCCTGGAGGCCAGAAGGGTAGGTAGAGGCCGCTGCTGGGTGGATCTGGTGTCAATACATTTCAAGCAGTCACCTGCATGACTTTTTGCCACCTGCTTTAAGCTGGCTTGGGACCCAACCAGGTCAGGCATTTCTCCCATCTGTGTCATATGTTTTAGAATAGTGGGATCATGAACTCGGGCTTTGCCTGTCACGGTTTTAGTCCTGGCTCTCCCACTCACAAGTTACTGCTTTGTAGTTTTGGATAAAGCTACTTCCTGGACCTTTGTGCTCCCATCTGTAAAATGGGGTGTAGAGGGTTTACCTCATTGGCATTCTTTTTTAATAATTTATGTTCATTGGTGTGAAGATGACAGATTTCCTGGAGCTGGAGTTACATACAATTGTGAGCTGCCATGTGTGTGCTGAGAATTGAACCCAGGACCTCTGAAACAGCAGCCAGTGCTCTTAACTGCTGAGCCATCTCCAGTCCGCCCCCCCCCCATTAGAGTTCTTATAAAGAGGTGTCCATATTTGACACTCAGATACCACCTGAGCACCTGATGCTATATAAATGTTGTAAGTGACTTAAGTTTACAGACATGCTGTTTTTTATCTTGAAAGTAGACCTCAATCCCACATCTTTCTTTGGGTGTCATTCTTGCCTTTTTTCCATTGCTGTTTTTTTCTGCCTCACTTTGGCCTTGGATTCAGATTTACTGCAGGTATCTGAAGAGAGAGAATGGTTATATTGGTAGTCAGCAGGCTCCAGGTAATAGAGTGGAATTGTAAGCGGCAGTGGTCTCAAGAGTTGATCAGCTACACTGTGAATCAAGATTTTCTCCAGGGTGTCTAGTAACCTGGATGTCCAATTACACGCAAATAAAACTGGGGCTCTGTTGGGTTCATGTAGCAGGATCCAGCTAGTTGAAGGTGTTAGGCAGTTTTTCTCAGTCTGGGCAGGAGAGATTGGCATGATGGGAAAAAGTTGGGGAAATTCAGGACTTGATATGGGCTTCAAGGAGGGATGAGTGACCATAGGACCATGGAACTGTGGCCTGAACTTTAAACACTACATCCTTTGCTTTCCAAGGTAAGCTGTCCCTCAGTGAGAAGGGGCTTGAGGGAAAGGGGCAAGTCAGGATATTGGGAGAGGTGAAATCTCGGTAGCTACTCTACCAGACCCTTTAAATACAGAGGATCCTGAAACAGGTAACATAACTGCTGAAGACAGTTAAACTGCCGTGCCGTGTTATACTGCCAACAACTGCCTGACCTCTTCAAGCTTTTAGCTAAAGACTCTTCGGCTTCTACCAACTACTCTCTTCAACGAGTGTGTCACCATGCCCTGCTCTGAATATCTTCACTGTGTATATTTTGTTGTCAGAACTTTGGGCCACATTTCCTTATAGGTTATTGATAAATTTTGTTGTTTTGGGGTTTTGTTTGTCTGTTTTTTGAGACAGGGTTTATCTGTGTAGATTTGGAGCCTGTCCTGGATCTCACTCTGTAGATCAGGCTGGCCTCAAACTCACAGACATCTTCCTGCCTCTGCTTCCCAAGTACTGGGATTAAAGGCGTGCGCCACCACTGCCCGGCAGGCTATTGATATTTTTTTGACCTAGCATCTCATCCTGATCACTTTGCTTTGGCAGGTTGAAGAGATTGCATGTAATAAACACAATAGCTAAGTTGGAGGGGCGATTCAGGATAACTATGAGCTCTGGAGATCAGAAAGGGACTCCCAATTGGGCTGCTTAAATAGAAACCACCTGAGAGTTCCAGAATGAGTGTGGAGGAGTGTAGAGGGAAGCACCTGTGGTAAGAATCCCTTGAGAGAACAGGTTCTAGGGTGCTTTCCCTAACCTTTGGCACCTAGAGAGTCTGCCTGGCTCTGACATCTTCAGGAGGAATGCCCCAGAGGGAACCAGAGATGAAGCCTGGGAAGTGAGCTCAAGCTTAGGAGAGAACCTGAGGGTTGTACATGGTTCTTTACGTCCCCATTTCTCCTTAATCCACTGTAATGTGGTTCCTGCTTCCATAATGCCTTTAAAAAGCTTTCCCTGGGGACAAAAGGTAAGGAGATGTGGGGATATCCCTTTCAAAAAGTAGAATAGAGCTGGGGAATTAGCACAGCAGTTACGAGCTCTGCTCTTCCAGAGTACCCAGGTTCATTCCCAGCAGCTACATGGTAGTTTACAACCAACTTTAACTGTAGTCCTAATGAGATCTGGTGCCCTCTTCTGGGGTGCAGATGTACAAGCAGATGAAACACCCATATACATAAATAAGAAAAACAAAACAAACCACCTGTTCAATTCCTGGGACCCACCATGCAGCTCACAACTGTCTGCAACTCCAATCTCACCCTCTTGTGACCTCAGCAGGCACCAGGCACACATGTGGTTCACAGACATACATGTAGGTGCAGAGGTCAGCGAGATGGCTCACAGGATGGACTCTCATCACCAAGCTTAACCTGATTTCAATCCCAGAACCCATGTGGAAAAAGAGAGCTGACTTCCACGAGTTTCCCTGGCCTCCTTGCAAATGCACACACAGGCAAATTTAAAAAATGTAAGTAGGAACAAAGATGACTTCCTGTACCAGAAGGGAAAGAGTTGAGGGCAAGCAAGCGTGCAGACGGTGTGGAGGCGACAGTGGGATATGGGAGTTCAGAAGTCCTTTGATCATGAAGCAAGAGTTATTAAACACGGATGGGAAGCAGTCGGGGAGTTTGAATAGTTGTAACAGAGAGATGACATGATCTACCAAGGCTATAAGCCCAGTGTGCGCTGACGACTGTGAACTTGGAGTTTCAGTAGCAGAATGTGGGCTCCAGAAGCATCCACAAGCTAGGGGAGGCTGTCCCTCCACACTGAGTGAGACAGGAACAAATGAAGAATGAATAGTAGCCAGAGAGTAGGGCCATGGTGCCCACAGAGTTGGGAGGAAAACTAAAAAGAAGAGCACAGGCTTCTGTGGGCTGGAATTCTCATGAGCTACCTGGAGTGGGTGAGGGGGAGTACCATAGTTTCATGGGGCTTGTTATAATGAAGTGCCACAAACTGAGTAGCTTACAGCAGCAGACTTACATCTCATAGTTAGTTCTAGAGGCCGAAGTTCAAAAGGTGGTTTCCGTTTTGTTTTTTTGGTTTTTTTTTTTTTTTTGGTTTTTTTGGTTGTTGTTGCTGTTGTTTTTTGAGACAGGGTTTCTCTGTGGCTTTGTAGCCTATCCTGGAACTAGCTCTTGTAGACTAGGCTGGTCTCGAACTCACAGAGATCCGCCTGCCTCTGCCTCCCGAGTGCTGGGATTAAAGGCGTGTGCCACCAATGCCCGGCTGGGTTCCGTTTTTCTATTTATTTATTGGGTGTGTAGGCATGGATGGGCTATAGCTCACAGAGGTCATAGGACAACTTGGAAAAGTTATTTGTCTCCTTCTATCAAGTGGGACCCGGGAATCAAACTTAGGTCTCAAGCTTACCAACAAGTGCTTTACCCAGGGAACAATCTTAGCAGCCCTGCCCCTTTTTGTCACACACTTTTTTCACCTTCTAAATATAATTTGCTTCTTTAAAATAGTATTTTGGGGACCTGGAGAGGTGACTCGGTGGGTAAGAGCACTGGTTGCTTTTTCAGAGAACTCTGGTTTGATTCCTAGAAACCACATCGTGGCTCACAACCATCTGTAACTCCAGTCCTGGAGGATCTGACACCCTCTTCTGGCCTCCTCAAGCACCAGGCATGTATGTGGCATACAGATATAAATGCAAGAAAAAATACACAAAAATAAGATATAAATGAAATAAAATAGAACTTTTATTTCTCATTTCCTGGTTAGAGTGGGAGTTCCAGATGTCTGCTTTATTCCCTGAAGCAACCTAGGAATCTTGAGCATGATTTGCACACAGTAGGTGTACAGTGATCATTCAATGAAGGTCTGAATGTTGAGGCTCCAAGTGTGGACACACCTAGATCAGAATGCCATTCCCTGTTCTTTTGGCCTCCACTCCCAGATTAAAGGATGAGATCCAGATTTATTCACGGGATAGCCTTTAAAAAAAAAAACATTGCCTGCCGTCTCTGTCCACCTTTGGCTTGGTTCTTGCACTCTGGGTTCTGACCATACCGATGCCTGACCTCTTCCAAGCATTATTAGATTTTCTTCCTCTGATCTTTGCCCTAGCTGTTCTCCCTTCAAATTCAAGTCTCTTCAAAAGCAAGACTTGGAAGTCCATATCTGTAATCCTAACATTTGGAAAGCTGAAACAGGAGGATTGCCATCTGAGGCCATCTTGGGTTACAATAGCGATTGCCAGAGACACGCTGTCTCAAAATACCCTAAGAACTTCTACCTGTGGCCACAAGGTGGCAGCATTCACAAAGAGATAGCCCATCTATCCTTTGTAAAATCTACTTTTCTAGAAACCCCAAGATAGAAAGAAGCAAAACAATCTAATCTTGAAAATTGGCCCTTAATAGACAAGGTGACATCTCAGCCGTTCAAAAGAGACAGCTAATGATAACCCATGGTGTGACGAACGTAGACCCTCCAGTCCCGTGTAAGCTATAGACCTGTTTCATAATTTCAGTATTTCACCTTTAGGTGAAATGTGACAGGCATAATAGGCACAAAGATTCAGGAAGTTCTTCACTACAGAAATAAGAGCCCCTCGTCCAGCACTTAGAGACAGGAAATATCTCAACAAAAAAGGAGGTAATGCCTGTGGAGAGGCGTGAAGTTTGATTGGCTGGGAAGGACAGGGGTGAAGGGCAATCATGAGCTGAGGTGTGGGAGACAAGAATAAACATCATTTTGTGAATGAAACTCAAGGGAGAGCCTATGTGGAATGAGTCTCAGGATGGCTTGGGGCCGCACTGTATGCAGAAAGACCTGTATACCTGCCAGGGAGTGTGTACTTTATCTTGAGAGTAAGGAGAGGTCCAGAAGCCGA